GAAATTCAGACACTCAGTTTTCTCCTATGAAGAACAATCTCTGATTTTTCACATCCTGGTTAAGTGCTGAATTCAAGGGGGTCGTTCAATGGAATCACTTCATCTTTTGAAGGGAGGAGCTTCCTTTCACTAGGGAAGTTCAGCAAGGCACTTATGATCCTACAGTTCCTTTACATAATTTTTGGTGCATATCTTTTCTTTTTTTTTGTCTCTTTCAGTTGGCCACCAGCAGCATCTCTACAGTCAGCCTGCTTAGTTGTCACATCCTGAGTTTATGACTTTGCTTGTTTTCAATATTTATGTTCTTTGATTGTTTGCATAGTAGGATACTTCACTGTGAGAAATCTGACTGAAAATTAAGTACCTTAAAGGCTTATGTGAGGATCGATATGTGGAATAAGGAAAAATTCCTCAAATACTAAAGTAAAAATCAGTCAAGCTGGCAGCAAGAAAGACAAAATTGCCTTTCACTTGGTTAACTTATTATTTTGACTTTAAATTCTGGTCTTTGTGTTTTCTTTGATCTTTCTGTTCCATCTGTTTCCCTGTTCTTCACTAGAAAGTTTCAGATTTAGTTTATTGAAGTCCTTTGATAATGTGCACATTAATCTTTATAACCATATAGACTATATTATAGTCTATAGTCTATCAGAGAAGAGATTCGGAGCAGCCCTGTGGAAAAGGACTTGGGGGTGGTGGTTGACGAGAAACTGAACATGAGCAGGCAGTGTGCACTCACAGCCCAGAAAGCCAACCGTATCCTGGGCCGCATCAAAAGGAGGGTGACCAGCAGGTCAAAGGAGGTGATCCTGCCCCTCTACTCTGCTCTTGTGAGACCTCACCTGGACTACTGTGTGTAGTTCTGGTGTCCTCAACATAAAAAGGACATGGAACTGGTGGAACAAGTCCAGAGGAGGGCCACGAGGATGATCAGGGGACTGGAGCACCTCCTGTATGAAGCCAGGCTGAGAAAGTTGGGGCTGTTCAGCCTGGAGAAGAGAAGGCTGCTTGGAGACCTCATAGCAGCCTTCCAGTATCTGAAGGGGGCCTATAGGGATGCTGGGGAGGGACTCTTCATTAGGGACTGTAGTGTAAGGACAACAGGTAACGGGTTCAAACTTAAACAGGGGAAATTTAGATTGGATATAAGAAGGAAATTCTTTCCTGTGAGGGTGGTGAGGCACTGGAATGGGTTGCCCAGGGAGGTTGTGAGTGCGCCATCCCTGGCAGTGTTCAAGGCCAGGTTGAACAGAGCCTTGGGTGAGATGGTTTAGTGTGAGGTGTCCCTGCCCATGGGAGGGGGGTTGGAACTAGATGATCTTAAGGTCCTTTCCAACCCTAACTATTCTATTATTCTATATAAAGTGCAGAGCAGATAATTTAGTTTTTAATGAGAATAATAATAATAAAAAGGCCAGGTTTGGGTCCGTCCCCGTCCCCCCCCATTTCCATTAAGGTTGCAGTGGTGAAGATGTTTTAGATAGCAAAAGGAAGAATCAGTTTCATATCACAAAGAATTTATATTGAATTTATTAAAAGTAAACCTTTACCTTAAGCTTTAGATCTTGAAAGACCCTGCTGTCATGATTGTTTGTAAAAAAAAAAACAACAAACAAACAAATTTCTGAGTATGGATATTTGTGAAAATTTTAGATTGGAATATTTTATATGTGAAACCACAGTTATTGCCTTAAAAGTTTCTGTCTTATCTGTAAAAACAACAGAGAGAAAACAATAATCCTGTCTCCCTTAAAAATGAAAGAGAATTTGTAAAAGCTCATCAGAAATGCAGATTTGTCCATTAAAATTGTATTATTCCACCACTGGTACAATGAATGAAAATAAAACATGAAAATTGGTCTTACCTCAGGATAGTACTTGCAATCTTTGTGGTGTTTAGCCTCTTAGAATAGAGCAGTTCAACATAAATGCATGTTGACTCTAGATTTTAAAATCTGTCACAAACCTGTGTGTATACATATGCATACGCATATACGACAGTAGTGAGAGGGGAACAAAGAAGCTCCTTTTTTTAATAGGTAGGGGGAAAATAGTATCAACAGAGAATACTGTATGTTTCCCTTTAATAGATATTTTACTCAAAATACTTGTTACTGTGACCCTACCCCAAAAAACTTGTGAACCGCAATTTTATTACTGAGAATGACTTGCAGAAGTTGTTTTTTTGTTAATCATATTGGAAAAGATAATTTGGCAAAAATGTCAAGACGTAGTTGGCCATGCTCATACATGAGCCAAAATAACTGAGAGAGGTTTTTTTCTGTCTTTGCACTGGTATTAGTTCCGCTCTGTTGGTGGTAGGATGGTCCTACTGTAACTTTAGTTTTTAGTTTTCTCCCGTATCGTTTTATCACTCCGCGTTTTGCTTTTAAAACAAGCTTGTTCTGAAGTCTCCCTGGGATCTATCTGGTTGATAATTTTTACTTCTGAAATGCAACTTTTAGATATTTCTCTGAGATTGGTGTTTGATTTGTTTGGTCTTTTTTTTCTTTTAGTGTGCATTCTAAATTCTAGTAGCTGCCTGTTGTTGTGCACCCTTCCCTTCATGCGATAATCCATAATTGCTTCTGTATTAATTCCTAATGTACCTCTGTGGGACATAATTATACACATTACAAAGTTCAGCTTGATGTTTTAAAGTCTGCCTTTAGTTTTGTATTTGTAGTTGACTTTTTTTTCCCCTCTAAGCTTCTTTGCTTGCATATTGGTAATGTTCTACATCTAGAATTACTATTGCTAGTCTTGATTGTCAATTTTGATTTTTTGAAAATATGCTGGAGTGAATAGTTATACCAAAGCTAACTCGAAAGTAGTTTTTAAATTTGAAACAGTTACGCAAGTGAGCTGAAAAAATAATTTTGAGTGATAATGAAGCAATTTGATATGCTTCAAAAACAAACCAACAAAGTAGTAGTCATGGCATTTGAATGCAGTAGAGTGAGACCTTGCAAGAAGTCCACATTGTCTTGAATTGTATTTTAACTATATATGTATTCAGTTTAACCTTTTGTCTTCCACAAAACTAACCAAAATTCTGTTGTTTGGTATTTAGTACCCTAGCATTCAGAGGAATATATGCGTAAGCTGTATTTTTCAAGGTGTGCATTGATGAATGGTGTTCATTTGATGTATAGTCAGTTTTGAGTCCCATGGGTCCATCTTCCTTTTGGTCCATCTTATATTTGATGAGGCTGAAGAGTTTCCCTGTTTTAGCTGTAGTCTCCCCTTTCAGGAAGAAAGGTGTTTGCCATTTCCTAAGAGGACATATTCTTGTGATCAGTTGATTTTTTTAAAGGGCACAAGATGGCTGTGGGTATTTGTTTAAAGGTCAACATATGAGTGTTAGTTTAGATTGGGAGTGTGTATTTGAACTGAATTTCTTTACTGTCTCCCCTCACTTTGTTTTTATGTGATGTGCTGTTGTCCCTGAATATACTTACTTAGGTTTGAGTGAAATAAAACAGAAAGATATGCTGCAACCACTTACAGGCATTCAGCCAGGTAAGATCTAGTTTGAGGCAGTCCCCCCAGAATATGTGTTATGTGGACTTCAGGTTCTCAGCATCATTTGAATGCTTTACGAATCCACTTGTTCTGCAGACCTGGTATCAGCAAATGCAGGTGCCCCTGAAGTAAAGTTTTAACAAATTGCCTAATCAAACCCTGCCTGTGGAAACACTGTAGGTTTTATATTCAGTAGACTACATGTCATTGCATGTAGAATTACTTCCTTAATGAGCTGTTAATTTCTCTCTGTATTAGGTGACTTTCAGTCTTTGTTTAAATTTTCTTCCTGTCTTGCTTTAAATTGCTTGCACATCGCGTAAGTTGGTGAAATGTGCTAGTTAGGAGGTTTTAAAGCATCTGTTCTGTTTGACGAATTCAGATGGCTTTAAAGATAGTTAAAAGATACACTAGTTATAGAATCAGCTGTCTGTGGTTTGTTTGCATCCGTTTTAAAACTTTAAAACTCAGGTTTTATTTCTTAACTTTTTTTCTTCCTTAAGCTATTGGGAATCGCATTTGGTAATTAGTTGCTGGGTGTTAAAACCACGGGGGGGGGGGGTAGGGTTGTTTTTCAAATAGCCGTTAAGATTCTGTTGTTCATTCCATCTACCTGATGGTTATGTTATTTAAAGAAGCATGGGGGAAGAAGGGCATAGTGCTAGATCCTGAACTTTTTTTGAAGTTTGTTTCTGTCTTCTTCCTACCCAAAGGAAGGGATTTTTGTTTGAAATGCAGTGGGAAAATAATAGTTTGTTAAAATTAAATAGTGTATTAGTGGAGTTTTTTTCCTCCTTTTCTTGCTCTTAAGAAGTGTGTGTGTGTTAGCTTTAAATTGCACAGGTTAGGTGTGTATTGTCAGAATTAAAAGGAGGGGTGAGTGAGATGAGTTAGTGTTACTCCTTTCTGGAAAGGGAGTGCAGCAAACCAAATTCAACGCCTCTGCTCCTCTTAACAAGCAATAGAAAATTTTCCTGGTTTAGCTTTATGGGATTTGCTTTGGCAAAAACCATCAGTAACCCTTCTTTGGGTCTGCTACAAGCAAACATGAGGTGTACCGGGGAACGATTCTGATCTGAAAAATCTTTAACAAGAATGTGTGTGTGGTTGAAGTAATTTTTTTTAAAGACTCAAAACTCCATCTTAGAAATTAACTGTCTTTTATTCTTAAAGTAGTTAAAAAGTTTCAAATGAGCAGTCTCTACAGAATACTCGGGAAACCTGGTAGAGCAGTGCCAACATGGAGAAAGTTTCTTGAGTGCGAGCCAACTTAACAAATGCAAGCAGGCAAGCTTTGTGTTCAGACTTGTGTTTCAGCTTCTGCGGATGGATTTAATGTCCTTGGTGCTCAGGCAACTGGGGCATATGTTGCAGGAGAAATACTACAGTGCAGTGTGTTCAGTTTCATTTGCTGCTGTGTTTGATGTTGGAGGGTTAAGGGGAGGGGAAAGGATCAGCTACCCAGGATGCTCTGTTTGGAGGAGTAAATGAATTTTATTGTCGTCAGAACTACATTGCCATATGAGTTCTGAAAAGCGTTTGGCTCCTGAGGATAACTGCTCTAAAAATAGATTTGGAGAAGAGGTTTCTCTTGGGTCCAGTTTCAGGTTCCCGCTGAGCTGGCTCTAGGAAACTTGTTTGCTCCTGTTGCAAGACTAGTGAGGATAATTTTTTTCTTATTTTGCCTTCAACATTAATTTTTGGAGATATCAACATACTTGCTCTGTCTGTGGAAATCAAGAGCTGTTGTTATGGCCGACGACACAGGTATAATCCTAATCTTTTTGTGAACAAATGGAAAATGCGTGGTTGCAAATACTGGCTATGTCTGATTTTATAATCAGCAAGATAACTGGCTTACTGTGGTATGTTGCATACTCTGTTTACTGTTTTAGTCTGTGTTACAGGCTGCCTCTGTGCTTTGATTAAATGTTCCCTGGAGTAATAGGATTTAATCAGTTTGTGACGGTCACTTAATAGTACCTTTAGTTTTAGCTTGAGTAGGGTATGTGTTAACGGAAGAGATGTTTTGTCATCAGATACCTGACTTTCAAGTTATTTTGGGAGTATGTGAAATTAATAGGTGTCCTTTTAATGTAAGGTAAAGTAAAAGGAATTAATTTCACGCATTTTTATCTGGTGTGACTCTTAATGCAGTGTAGGTGGGTTATAGGACTTTTAGAGATTTGCCGTTGAGACATAGAGTGCACTTTAAGACTTCTGATGTCTGCATAAAGACATCTGGTGGTATAAGCACAGGCTTACCAGATATGGCAAGTGACCTACTTCTGACATGGCTGGCAGCATGTGCAGGGAAAGGGCTTGAATTGAGAATTAACTGTCTGGAATGAGTGCTGAGCCAGCTTCAGTCCTTGCAATGTTTTGTTCTAACCCTGTGTGTAGCGTTATTTGTGCAGACAATGGGTAAATGTTATGTAACTTCCATTTATATTAAAGCATGGCCTGATCAAGCTGCCATGCTTGAAATCTTAGGAGAAGTTTTCAAGAGTTTTGAAAGTAATGTTCCTATAAGATAGGAAGCCACAGCATAAAAATGTATCTTTGTGACTGTTGTGAATGATATCTTTATGGAAGGATCTGTTTTTGAGGGGTTTTCATGAACAGTCTTGTAGACTGGAAAAAATGTGGAAGACTATGCTTGATTACTTAAGTTGTATCTTCCTTCATTTTCCTGTTCTTTTCCTCTGATAAATAAAGCCCCTTTCTTCAGAAGCAACTAGCAGTAAACTGTAGAAAACAGTAATGTAAATGAGTAAGTGAAACAAAATCAGATCTGTTTTCTGTTTAATTTTTCTAATGCCTAGCTTGCATAGGACAAAGTTGTAACCTGGAATAATGTAAAATGTTTTCAGCCTTAAGGTTTAATTTTAAATACACACAAAGCTTCCATTGACTGCATTGGAGCACAAGAGTAGCAAAGTTCTGCTTTTACAAAGTATAATTGTTTATTTCTGAATATTAACATTTCCAGCTCAACAGTACTTTAAAGAGTTTTCATTTACAGTTGATCCTATTTCTGAGTGTAGTGGCACATGCTGCATGACTTTGCCTCTATTTTCAGGCTATCTGTACATCTTTCTAAGAGAGATGTGATCATGGATTATATATGTGAGCCTTGCACGCATGTAATTAGGGTACTGTGCAGCAGCAAGTGATACATGCTTGATGTGAAGCTAAGTTGTCTTGCTTTCTGAGTATTCTTGAAAAGCCCATATACCAAGGCAATTTTGTGTTTAATATAGAAAGGAAACTAAATAGTTGGTATTTCATCTTTGTACAAAGTATGCAATAAAATAATTTTTTTTAAATTTATTTTTTAGTCTTTTTGTAAAACGCTGAGCTGAGTAAGAGCTGATGTGAGTAATTTATTGGTCTGAACTCTATGTAGCACAGTGAATGTAATAAAAGGTCAGTTTATTACAGCTGTGAACCTGATGGCAAGCAGGGTCTGAAAGTACTGGCGGTAATATCTATTACAGAAATAAGTAAATCAGTCACCAGTGTCTCATTACTCATCTTCCAGAGCAATGTTAATATTTCAGGGCATTTTTCATCTTTTTCTATGATTAGTGTTGATAAAGCATCAAACTTACTTGCAAGAAGTATTATAAATTTGTCTCCCTACTTTATTATATTATCACAATATTCATGGCAAACTTCCTCAAGTATTTAAAAATCCATAAGAAATAGTTTTACTTCAATAACTAGGACTGGATAGGGCTGAACAAGCAAAGGCTGGTGCTTAGGAGGAAATGGAGTGAAATAGGCTGGTAGCCGTGGAACTGTGGCCAAATGCCAGCCTTGCAGCGCTAGTATCTGAAGGCAGAAGAGCAGACCTTGAGCTCTGCAGAAAGCCACAGGCATTTTTTGGAATGCATGTTTATTTGCGACATGTATCCCTCTTTCCTGTAAATGATCCTAAAGGAATGGACCAAGTAATTTATTTTCTAGTCGTGATGTCCATTTTAATCCTCCTACCCATATGCTAGGTTGAGGTCTTTCCCAGTGGTTTGTTTGTAACTACTGTATTTTTTATACACATTTATTTTTCATATGTGCAGTTATAAATTAAGGTGTGATTTGTATTAAGTCTCTGTGTCATCCTTTTACTTGTATTTTTCCATCAGACTGTGAGTCTGAAGGCATGTAGTGAATCTCTTCTTGATTTTTGCAGCTTGATTCTTGAAGCAGGGGAGATATTTTTAGCTGGTACAGTATCTGAACATGGAGTCTTACCCTTAACATTGTTTTGATTTTAGAGCCTTCTTAGGCTATTTGAATTTTCACGTTGTTTCTGTGAGCTAATTCAACTAGCTTTGAAACTTGCTTCAGAAGAAAAGCTTTTCTTCCAAACTGTTTCTGCTAGTCATGTTGCCCTCTGGTGGCAGTTTGAGAGCTGTTGGCATAAATGTAAAGCATCTCAAAAATGTTAAGCTCTATATAAATATACACTAAAGGGGAGCAAGGGGGGATTTTCAACTAAGTTGTTAAGACAAATTGCATCTGGCGTTTTGGTGTTCGGTTGATTATAGGGCTTTTGCTTAGACAATCATCAGGCTTTCTGCTGTAATTCACAGTGATGTGAAAAGCAAGCAACTAGCAAAGTTTAAAAACAGCACAAAAATGTTACTCAAATGCTGTGTTCTGTGTAGTCAGAAGAAACAATATTTATAATTGTATCATAAATCATAGTTTTCTAACGTGTACAAATTCATCCTTCCTATTTGTTTGCCTTATTTTTACAGAGACCAAACATGGAGGAGGTAAAAATGGAAAGAAAGAAGGCTTTTCTGGAAGCTCATTTTTCACCTGGTTTATGGTAATTGCTTTGCTGGGAGTTTGGACATCAGTAGCAGTTGTCTGGTTTGAACTTGTAGATTACGAAGAAGTTCTAGGTAAGATTATTATTAAATATTAAGCTGCTTCTAATATAATTATGATATGCCTTAAATGGAGGCCATTTTAAATAGTTGATTTGATTACTGGGGTGTTCGCAAATGATCTACGTGATTAAAAATAGGCAATGTAGTTCAAGAAGTATATTTTAATGCTGAACTCTATTATGATGTTAAAATGGGATTCTCATAAGACTGAAAAGGTTATTAATATACTGCATTTATTAAAGAACTGAAGAAGTCTCAGAGGATAGATCTGGATCTACAGATATATCTGTAATATATCTAAGATATATCTGGATCTTACATCTGTAAAACAGTTCGTTTGGAAGGCTCGTGTTGCCAGTTCTCTGATGGATTGTGTTGCCTATAAAGTCAGGACAACTGATCAGTCATCCTCCCATACGTGACTTGTTGAGTGACCTCGGTTTTAAGCTTATAAAGATGATTATTGTATCTCAATATGTCAGTGTTAAAATCATATTGCTAATATAATATCTAAGGATGAAAATTAGTATCTCAGATTTCAGGAGCTGTGTCCATAGGTAGAGCTATTGACCCTGATGTTGTAGGACTCAACATGTGCTTTTGCAACTGCAGGTTTTACAAGCCTTACAAATCTGTTGGTACATGCTTCTTTTGATCTGGACTGATTTTAAGAGAAACTTCTGGTTTGGAACTTAATTGGGTCTAGTAATGCAATTAATGGTTTCTGTATTTTTACCGTGCATGCAGCCAAAGCAAAGGATTTCCGTTATAACTTGTCAGAGGTCCTACAAGGTAGGAGATTGGAGAAATAACTCATTTTGCAGTCTCTTCGCTGAAAAATTTGCTTTTTTATGTTTTTAATTTTTTAGAGAATTAATATTCTGCATTGACATGAAACAGTCATTTCTCATCTGTCTCATTCTTCATGGTTTTGAAGGTGATACAATTCTTATTTCTGGAGAATTACATTTATTCCACCAGTCTGCGTGTTTAACCATAAGCTGATAAAGATCCTTTCTAATTGATTTGTTTCTGTACAGTGGTGATGACCTTATTTTTTTGTCCATTCTAGACCCAAGTCTGAACTTTTCTTCCACAAAACTGTTCTATAATTTTCTAAGTACCCCATTATGAACTGTATTTATTTTAATTGTAATCAAGTTCTGCCTCCATTTTGAGAATGTCAAGTGTTAATAATATACTGCAAACTCTAAGGACTTAGAGGTTTTTTTGCAAAGAGTGCAGAGTTTCAATCCTATTAAAAGTTATGTCTGAAGTTCGTCAGAACTAATTAGAAAGCTCACTGCTCACATGGTGATCCCAGGACACTTCTAATCCTGGATACCATGTTTCTGTGCTAAAAATTCTTTTTGGATAGAAGCTGGGTTCTCCTGTGAATGCTTAGGGCTGTTAGAGCTGCAGTTTAAGAAAAAAGTGAGAAGTCTGACGTATTAGTTGCCTATAGGAGGATTGACAACTTTTTTTGTCTGCAGTAAATGCCATACAGTTGTTGATTAAAAATTATGCATGTTTTTTCTTTGTCCAGAAAGTATGTCGCTTACATAATTTTTCATGCCAAGTTAATAGAAGGTATCTGTCTGTTTTTTTCCTCCCAAGAATTTAGAAAGGCAGGAAACCAATCTGAAAACAAATGGTGATTATTTGTTTAATTCTTGTTATTTCTTTTCCATCAAACATGTTGGAAGTTCCTTCTGAACTGAGATTTTATTCTGAGCTCAGTGTGTTCAAATAAAGTGCAACACTTGATTATGGATTTATTTTAAATCTCTGAGTACCATAATAATGTGTTGAAAAAGACCAACTTGTGTTCAGTTTGAAGTCTAGAAATTGCAGAAAGGAACTTAAAGTATTTGTAAAATTTTCCAGGAAACTTAAAATGTAGATGAGTATGGCTAAATGATTTTTAAAATACATGGCAACAACCTAGCATCAGCAGTCAACCATTGCACATCAAAAACACTGTGCTGGGAACAAACTGCTGAATCCCTAATTCTCTCTTCTTTTTGTGTTTCTAGGCAAGCTTGGGATATATGATGCTGATGGAGATGGAGATTTTGATGTTGAAGATGCTAAATTATTGCTAGGCAAGTACAAACACAGGTGGAAAAATATATACAACTGTCATTTATGTTTGGTTTTTGTTTAATGTCAAAACAGTATTTTTGGATTTTTTTTTCTCAATTAGGGAACTTAAAATGATCTAATTGTGGTTGGCATTTTTCTTAGTGCAAGTTGTGGGATTGTGTGAGCAACTTGTAGCAAGTTGTGTTCTTTTTTCACTAGTATAGCAATGTAAGTGGGAAGCATTTAATTAAAGGATGATTTTGATGCTGCTGTATCAACTGTTGAAAGATGTTTGGTTATTAATAAATTAATTTATTAATTAATAATAGAGCTTAAGATGCTTCAACAGTTAAAACATTGTGGTAACATGTTAAGCCAGATCAATTTTCAAGTTACTTCCAACAGGCCTTTGTACTTCTTCGATAACTGTTTAGCATATTTTATACTGGCTTTCCTCTATTCTGAGTTCTCCACAAGTCTGTTTATTTTCTTTGGCTTTCAGAAATCCTATGTGACATAAATTTATCTTTTTTGATGTTGAAACTCTGGTTTTAGGTTTCTGTTACTTCTAGTGTGGGAGAATGTCTCTCTGTTCACTATATATCTTCAGAGAGATATTTCAGTCATCAGGCATGCTTCGTGATACTGCCCTTCTACCTACATCTTCTAGCAGTTAAAGCACTACCATCTTCAGTCTCACAGTCAAGCATTGGATAGATACTTCTTGCATACGTGATGTTAGAAAGTTTACTTTGATTTGTTCAGGTGAAAACTTACTCTGGGCACGCAAACCTAACAAGTTAAATAAATGAACAAAGCAACAAAAATTCCCAGCATAATAAATAGAAGCTTGAGCAGAGGGCAAAGTGAAATGCCTCAAACTACTCAAGATTGTCAGTTATGGCTTGCTATTTAAAGCTTGTATTACATTAAAAAGAAAGAAAAGTTTATAGTCAGTTTTTTTTCTCCACTTATGCTTGCAGAAATAAGGAACTCTTTGGGGGGCGGGGCTCATTTGGTTAATTTCTTCATGGTTTAAAGAAACCCCATGCAATCAAAATTACTGAACCACTTTGCAGTGGTGTGAATGCAAGAGTCACTCCAAAGAATCTCCAGTGTCTACTCCAGAATCTACAGATTGGGCGTTAATTATAAATGGTGGATAAGATAACTCTTCATATATTTATATATATATAGGGTTTATATATATATATATATATATATATATATAAAAAGTGTTGTATATATATAAATCCTGACTTTTCTTTGTCTGCTGTATAGTGTATAAAAAGCAGATATCAATTTCTTGTGCGTCATATTAGTTGGAGTCAGATTGCCAAGGTGGTAGTTAGAAATATGCTGCAGCTTTGTGACATCTCTGTCACTTGATACAGCTGGGAATTCTGCCAGTATATGACAGTGTTTCTATTACAAGCTTGTCTTATCACACATTTAAACCTTGTACTTCAAATGTGACATTAAAAGGTCACAAATCAAAAGTTATCTTTATTAACTTTTGAATACTTGCTTAGATCATGATTTTATCTCATTTCAGAATATTTGATACATTACAAAGGCAATAGTAATTTTTGAAAAGCTTCACAACATTGGTTAAAATTGAGTATAAAAATATTTTTTCTAATAACTAGCATATAATATTATGAACTGAAATTCCCAGAAAAATATTTTGCTTACTTGTATTTAGCTTTTAACATGAGCTAAAAATGAATACGACTATGCTGATTAAAATTATTGCTGCAGAAACTGGAAGATTAGAAATTTGTCTTGCAAAATTAAGGCTTTGTGGGAAAGAAAGCCATATAGTAGGTCTATATTCAATTGCACTAGGGTATCATTGAATGCATAACTCCTTTTGTATTTTATTTTTGAGGATTATTGTTAGCATATATAATGTGTGTGAAGACTTGCTGCTTTCTGGGGTATTTCTCTGGGTCAGACTACAATAACAGCAAGTGGTTTCTTTGCTGATTTAATATTGTCCTGAAAAGGAAATGCCACTGATGTTTAACCCTAGGAAGTCGTATGCTTTTTTCTTCTCTGCTCTTTAGCTATTAGTAAACTACTGTGTATTGAGATTGTGGCAGGTACAATAGTTTAATGTTGTCTCCTTCCGTAATCTTTATGTTTTGCTACAAATTTTATGATTTAATTTGCATATTGATGATAAATATATTTTTAAGTCAATTTAATTTGGAAAATGCTTCTACCAGCTTAAGTTTGTTTTGTATTTCAAAGAATGATTTAGTAGCTGATAACTTAGTAGTTTTCTCTACTTGGTCACACCTAAATAGAAGGATTACAGTTTGTTTATTTCTTCTATGTATAAGGTATGATAGGGTCTGTTCTTTTTTAATTTCTTGAACTCAAAGGAGGTTAGATGGTTAAGTTCTCTAGAGATATTAGTATAATTCTAAAAATGGTGTGCAACAAATGTGTTTTTCCCCTCTTTCCTGCTCTCCCACCCGCAAGTAAGAGAGAGAGGACAAAACCCCAGCTAAAACCTGGCCAGCTGCTCAACCCCAGCTGTATTTGTTGGTTAGTTTTATATCTGTTTATATAAGAATTATCCAGGGTGGAAATGCAAACTTGTTGAAGCTAGCCTGCAGTTATCTTAAGAGATTTTTTTTCCACAGGTATTTGTGAGGTCTGTATACTGAATTCCATTTGGTAATGGGAAGAGAGGCTTAACCTCCTTCTTTGAGGGCTCCTGTTATTAATAACTCTCTTCCCACTTTTTGCCCTCTTAACTCTTTAATTGTTCTTTGAAGGAACTTGTTATTCTTTTTAAGAGGAGTGTTACATCTCTCTACTTGCTTTGCTCAGTACAAACAGTGGCTGTAGTAGTATTACCCCCAAAATCACGTATAGAGACTACCAGTGTCTGTTGTAATAGAATCTTTGGAACCAAGCCAGTTTTTTATGTTTCAGGCCTTTTTTAACAAGGAACAATATCCTGGGAAATTCTACTGAAACGCTTGCAGTAGTTAGTATAATTGTGGAACTGCAGCTACAGAAAGTTGTCAAAATGTTGTTCTTGTGTGTTGTGTTCAGAGTAGTTTGCCTAGAGCAAAAAAAAATGGGGAAAAAAAACCTGCTGAAACAACCTGGTGTATTAGCAAACCAAGGGGAGTGAACAGCAGAATTCAAACTTTCGTAAACCAGCTTTTTTCCCATGGTTCACCTATGGCAGAAAAAAATATTTTCAAGCAGTTGTACTAAGATTGCACATTCAGAAAATCTGTGGCGAGATAATAGGAGTTCTGAAAAACACTTTTGTATGGCTCAGCTGTTTAGGGGAAGTTTCATACTCTTCTCTATTTTTCTCCTGTTCTACTGTAGCACCTTCAAATATTAAAGGATGTATATGCTCATTCTCATAAAAGAGATGTTTCAGGAGAAGAAATGCTTTGACTTGTTAAATGAATGTAGGCAAGCCCTGTGCGCCATTGATTGTGGCAACAATGTGAATAGATAAGGATTTTGACTCCCTTGATCACTTTTGGGTTTAAATAGTAATGTTTAGAGTTCTCTTGAAATAAAGTAGTTATTTCCTCTGGGTCACTGATTTAGCGTGGTATTCATCAGGCAGTTCCATTTTTATCACCATTTTTAGGCACTTCTTACCGTGCTTATTTGTGCTTATCAGTACCTGAGTTTTAACATTGAAAAGCAGTTCTTCTCGGTCATAGGAATGACTGAATATGAAAAGCAGTTTGACTATTAATTAGTTTGGGATTTTTTTATTGTAAGTCTCTCTAAGAAAGAAAAAAAGGTAAGTTTATGAAATAATGTGTTACTTTGGGTAACTCAAGCTGAAGTGTTTTGTGTTAGATTCAAAGGCCATTAATAAAATCTTTGGTAGTTTTTGTAAAGAATTTGAAAGAAAAGGTTTGGGGGGCGGTTCTTTGGTGGGGTATTTTTTATGGTAAAGACTGTAAGACACGTTCTTCCAGTTTGTCTTTCCCTTTGGTTACCAGTCTTTTCAAAGAAAATACGCTGGTGTAGTCCATATTACATTTTACAGAGGTAATTGCCCAAGGGTCTTATTCTTGATTTAGTGAAAGGACATCTATATAGTTCTTCACAGTGCTTACAGAAATACTATCTAAAGTCTGGAGTCTTTTTTCTGAGTGGCATTTTGTTTATTGATTTATTTTTAATGCCAGTTTCCAGCAGAGTAGAATGATAAAAATATTTATAATTCTGTTTATAACTTAGTTTTTTTAACTTACTATTTTTAGATTAAGGTTTCAATTCTTAAATTGAAATTTCATTCTTCAGTAAACATACTTACTTTACTTTATGTCTTTACATCTCACTTGGGCCAAAATTCGGAAACAACTTAGAATGATGATTGTCTGCCATGCATAAAGTTAAGTCTAAAAATTTAATTTTTGTAGAACTAAGCCATGGAAGAAGTTGGAGAGGGATATTTGTAATACCTTGATTGCATCCTGGATTCAGTCTCTCATTTTTAAAACTTTGAGCTATCCTGTGAAAAAATTAAAGAGAATGGCTGATCACTCAAGTAGAGGTTCTGGACATCCAGGTACAAGGATGTGGAACATCGTGGACTTGGAAGTTTCCTCAGAATTATCATTGATACTTTCGCTATGTGCTGTAAGAAAAATGTGTTGAAATGTGCTAAATGTCTCTGCCATGAACTCCTGTATCTTGAATGTTTCATTAACTTACACCTAATATTGCTTTGCAGTCTGCATGTGCGTCGTTTTCACTTAATCTTATGTCTCAACAATTTGTTTTCACCCTTAGCCCACTGTTCTGCTTCTCTTTCCAACACAAACCAAGGTTTGTTCTGGTTAGAAGTAGGGGAAGCTCCTCCCTCTCCTGCTTTGACATTTGTCATTGCTTGGTCATTCTGTTGTGCTTTTTCTCAGAATAGAAATGTTGAAATATTATTTAGTACTGACTGTAAACCAGTGGATTTCAATTAAAAAACAACAACAAAAAACACCAGACAGGAAAAAAATCGTTAATT